ACAACCTACAGCCCCCGAGAGCCGAAGAGACCCCCTTTGGGACGCACAGGCCCGAGACACAGCTCATCTGAGAACTGCACAGCGCACCTGAAAGCCCACACAGTGCCACTGAGAGCCCACACAACTCACCTGAGAGCCCACACAACCCTCCAGAGACATCAGGCTGCCACCCCAGAGCAACACAGTATGTAGCTTATATTATTCTGCATTGCTGTATAATGTATTGCTGGGATTTTCAGTCCTCTCTAGCTAATGGTATTATTCTGCATTGCTATATAATGTATTGCTGGGATATGTAGTCCTCTATAGTTGCCGGTATTCTGCATTGCTATATAATGTATCGCTGGGATATGTAGTCCTCTATAGTTGCCGGTATTCTGCATTGATGTATAATGTATTGCTGGGATATGTAGTCCTCTATAGTTGCCGGTATTCTGCATTGCTATATAATGTATCGCTGGGATATGTAGTCCTCTATAGTTGCCGGTATTCTGCATTGCTGTATAATGTATTGCTGGGATATGTAGTCCTCTATAGTTGCCGGTATTCTGCATTGCTATATAATGTATCGCTGGGATATGTAGTCCTCTATAGTTGCCGGTATTCTGCATTGCTGTATAATGTATTGCTGGGATATGTAGTCCTCTATAGTTGCTACGTGTGGAGCGTGGATGCGAGCGGGTCTGGCAGCGGCGAGCGTGAGGTGGGGAGGAGGTGCGGTGCACAGCGTGTGGAGCTGTGAACAGGGCCAACTGATCAGAAGCCGATTAATCGATTATTGAAAAAGTTGACAACTTTTTCAATAATCGATTATAATCGATTATGTCGATTAGTTGTTGCAGCCCTAATGTTGTCTTCTATAGTTGGCAGTGTTCTGCATTGCTGTATAATGCTGGGATATGTAGTCCTCTGTAGTTGGCAGTATTCTGCATTGCTGTATAATGTATTGCTGGGATATGTAGTCCTCTATAGTTGGCGGTATTCTGCATTGATGTATAATGTATTGCTGGGATATGTAGTCCTCTATAGTTAGCAGTATTCTGCATTGCTATATAATGTATTGCTGGGATATGTAGTCCTCTATAGTTGGCGGTATTCTGCATTGTTATATAATGTATTGCTGTGATATGTAGTCCTCTATAGTTGACAGTATTCTGCATTGTTATATAATGTATTGCTAAGATTAGTTCCTTGTACAGGTTGAAGTCAGTAGCAGAAGTAACAGGGTCACAACGGTCACAGTTGTACTGGGCCCCGGTGCTTCACCACTGACTCCAAGCTTTAGAGAGACTGTTCCCTTGCAGTGTGCTGCATGACATGTACCTTAGTAACACATTGCAATGGGACATTTTGCTCATTAGCACAGTACAAAGGTACATGTCACTCTGTAGTGTAGTTAAAACCTCTTGTATTGTATTTTACGTCTAAGATTTAAGCACATAATTAGTTCAGACGGTCGTATGAAGTGTTTTTCTAAAATAATTCATCAGTATTTGGGTCTAAGTGCGGGGTTGGCACTTTGAGACACATAAGATGGTTTAGTGATCCAGTTGGCGCACTCGGGCTCCAAAAGGTTTGCCACCGCTGTCCTAGATTGTTCACTTCTGCTGCCTTCTCCAAACTCTTCACCCTTTAGTGAATAACCCTGTAAATATGCTCTCTGTGAAACGACACCATACTTCAAATCTTTTGAATTCCCCATAGATGTCAGGGGGGCAGTGTGTCACATACACTGGTGGAGGGGAAGATATGGAACATGTTGTCGCAGCATGTTTAGATCACAGGAAGGGTGAGAGCCACCAAATGACAACTCATTCAACTTTGCCTCACAATTTGTGCAGCTTTCTAGGGCTGCAACAACTAATCGACATAATCGATTATTGAAAAAGTTGTCAACTTTTTCAATAATCGATTAATCGGCTTCCGATCAGTTGGCCCTGTTCACAGCTCCACACGCTGTGCGCCGCACCTCCTCCCCACCTCATGTTCGCCGCTGCCAGACCCCCTCGCATCCATGCTCCACACGCCGCACCTCCTCCCCGCCACCCATTTCCTGTCCTTCCACGATCGGCAAGGCACGCGGGGAGATGTAGTAAGGAGGAGCAGGGGTGGGGGGATGACAGCAGCTGATAGACAGGT